GCAAAATAGCAAGCAAATCATGTAAGAAATCAAAAGAGGAAGTTAGAGAAACAGAACAAAAATAACAAAAATTTAGCCAAATAGTTCACACAAAGTTATTTTGAAACAACTAGATTATGAAAGAAAGTGTACAACTAAATAAATATAAATAATAAAAAAGAATAAAAGAAACAAATCGGCAAGAAAAGATTTAGAGGATGATTATGAAAATGGACAAGGAGAAAAAAAAATTTTGAAGTACCAACTAAAACATTATTTAAACGGGAACAAGTAAATATTCTTCCTAAAATGAAAACACACAAAGAATTAGAAAAGCAAAAATCTTGAGTTGATTAAAGCTTGAATGGTGACCAGGCTAAATAAATCCAAAGCAAAACAAATTGTATTAAGCCAGTTAAAATCCGAGTTAAACTTTACACTTTTGTGTTGATTATTATTACTATATAGAGGAATAATTAAAAATGAATCTTTTAATTTTGGTAATCTTTACAAATACACAAGTTAATTCAATTGAAAATAAAATTTGTGTTGCCATTTATATGCCTCTTTAGGTAAATTACTTTTGTTGATAACGAAATAAATTTGTTTCGATTTCGATAATCAAGTTCTCAACATTTCGAATCAAACTTAAAATCAAATGAATACTTCCGAACAAGGTAAATAAAGAGATATTAGGAACACAGAAAGAACTATACATTTTGAATAATTTAAGAAGTTTGACGAAAATTATTTGTCGTACGCAGAAGCCAAATGATTTAATTTAATTTCGATTTTCACCTCGATTTAGATTTCTTCAACATTCAAAGGTAATTGGTTTTGAATAAAGGAAGATCAATTACAAATATTCATATGAATGATTGTTACACATATTTATAAATTGGTATTACTTTAAAGATTACATATTATTGAACCCAAACCACACCAATCAATCGCTATTACAACAGTGTGTTCTAAATATAAACAATTATCTATATAATAAATAAAAAGCAATTTGGATCATTCCTTTCTTTAAAAACAAATTCACAAAACAGCTGCGTGTAATCCTTATGTTCGGGGAAAAGAACCAATAAAAAATAATTCGGGGAGGGAGGGAGGTTTTTTTTGTGTGCATTTTTTTATTTTATTTTATTTTTTAATATTAAAAAAAAACACAATGCTTAAAAATTCTATTAAAAAAAAAAATCATATACAAATGTTTGTTTGTTGTTTTATGATGAAATATGAATGCTTAAAAAAAATTGATGATATTGAAAATGTATGAATTAATATTAATTAATGTCTATAAAGATTGAATGTGAGTGTGTGTGTATGTAATTGAAAATGATGCTTGAAAAAAAATTTTTGTGGTTGTTGTTATTATTGTCGATGCGAAAAAAAATTGAAATAAAAAATTGCGTTTATAAAAAAAAAATTTAAATGTCTAAATATGTGTTGTGCATGTATGTTAAATGTAAACTATGTAAAATGAATTGCTCTAATATACCCTATAAATGTATAAAAAAACTATTTTTTTTTCGAAAAAAAAAATCGATGAATGAAAAAAATGAAAACGTCTATATAAAAATGTTCTATAATTTATAATTTACAATCGAAGTCTAAAAAAAATTTGTTTGCCTGCCATTTTTGTTTGATTGCCATATTCTAAAAATAAAAATAAAAATCTATGTGTGAAAAATGAAGTATATACTATATATACTATATATATATAATATATATATATATATTAATAATATTAATATGAAATAAATTAAAATATGTAAAATTTTATGCAAAATATAAAAATGTTCATTCAGATTTTTGCCAAAAATTGAATTAAGTTTACTTTATAGTGAAACTTTCTTTTTTTAATAAAGTTTGGAATTGATCAATAGAAACCTCCATCATTATCACAAGCATACTCTGCGAAAGAAGAAGGAACGACTGTATTGTATAATTGATGATCGAAATGATTTGATTGTTCTAATAAATAACCGCTGTTATTATTATAATCTATTCCTTGGAAACCTGGAGAACATGGAGAAAGTTGTTGTTGTTGGAATGATTGTTGTGTGTGATAGGGGGAGTGGGTTTGAAAGGGTTGGATTGGTGT